ATGTCAAAGTGCTGGAAATTTCAAGTGTTATTACTTGAAAAGTTCTTAACGAAAAAATATTTTATTATAGCGTTTTGGAAAGCTCTCGAGATGTGCTATAAGAATATGCAATGAAAAATGGGGTGTTCCATTTAAAAAAATTAATGTGACCTTGACCTGACCTTCGCTACGCAACCCAAGGTCAAACTGATGTGATCAGTAAATACATCTTTTTAAACGCCACAACTTTTGTCTGAAACATTTTTTTGTAAAACTTATATTTTTCCTGATATTCGGGCGTCCCGGTACTTTCCGAACACCCTGTATATTATATTCGAAAAAACTTAATATCTAGTCGATTTTACTTATTGATTATACAAAAAACCAAAAATTTCTTATTATTTGATTCTTTGTCGGACGTCTTTATATTTTCAATTTCGCATTATAATATTATATATTTATAAAAATATTGTTTATTTTCTTACTAGTTCGCGCTCTGTTTGCATCCTTGCTGTTTACTATTATTTTAAATTCTTCGTTAGTTTCTGCGTCTATTAGACATATTTCCTGAATGTTTTCCAAGGGCGCCGCCATCTTTCTACTGCGAATGCCTCACCTCGCCACTCGCAGTAACGAAAGCAGGAAGTGACGACAAGTTCTATGACGTCACATGCTCTTACAAGCTCGTCGAAAGTTTACTGCAGAGCATTTTGGAATGGCACTTCAGCACTGCAAGTACTGAAAGTTAATATCGGAATGCACCCATTACATACATATATATGATTAGAGAATAAACACACAAGTGAAAACATATTATATCCCAGACAGCACACATGTCCAAAAATAGGACATTAGACGTCTAAAAGACAACTAAATTATTTTTACATAAAAAATTGAGTGTTTTTGTCGTAAGGGTATGCTGTCTGGAATTTTAGCTTACCTTTATTTTTAAGTAAACTAGTCAACATCTCTAGTGTACTGTTCCACCTTGTTGGTACATCTTTATGTAATCCCATTGAAGATGTCTCAAACAAAAAAAACTTCCGTGCATATAAATGTTCATTATTAATTTCCGTCATAACAGGACTAAACTTGTATCAGCTTCTAGTAATTCTTCCAGGTTTTCAGTTTTATCAAGCATGTTATTGATTTCCTGTTGCTGTATATTACTTTTTATTTCTTGGAGAACTTGAGTTTTAAAATTAAGAATTTTTATAATAGTTCTAGCCTTAACAATGATATTATTAACTTCAGGTAATTTGGAAAAAGTATCCACCATCACTAAATTATGAAGTCCATGTGCAATACAAGGTATTCTATTAACTTTCATATATTTTGCTGCTTTGATCATATTTGCTCCTCCATCAGTCACAAGAATTATCATTTTGTCATTTAAATTGAAACATGTTAGCATTTTTCTCACTTCTTCAACAATGGTTTCTGCTGTATGAGGATGTGGTAAAAAGCTCGTTTATAACGTACATGATTTCAATTGTGTTGTAATAAAAGATATCCAGTGCAAAGTAAATGTCATGAATGGTAAGTGACGATAATTGTCAGTCCACATATCCATAGTTAATGCAACCGCATTTGGGTTATCTTCATTTATTTCTGATTTTACAGCAATTAGACAATCTTCGTATATTCTTGCAAATGAGCTACGAGATAATGTACTTGAACATGGTACATCTGACTCATTTTCTATAATATTATACATTTTTAAGAAATCTTTGAAACCTTCTTTTTCGGTTTCATAAAACGAGATAAGATCTCTGCAAAATCAAAGGGTTATGCTATCGCCTAGTTTTTTCTTTTTTTCGGTAATTTTTAAAGATGTGGATAATTGTTCCGATTGTCTGTGAGAAGTTTGAAAGAATCTATTAATGTTTCATTTATTATTTGATAAACTCATTGGTTTAATACCATGATTGTCATCTAAGTGAGAAAGCAAATTTCCAGTGCCAACTGTCTTTTTATATCTGTGGATTTTCCGCCCATCAGGATGCATAAAGCATACCTTACAATAAACATGAAATTTATCAACTACCATGTTTTTTTCACTATCTTCAAGTATGCCAAAATATTGCCTAGCAATACTTCGTATATTATAGTACAACTCTCAATTTTTATCGACAAATTTCTATTATTTTTTAATGCAACGTCAGCATTTTCGTCAGGTGTATTATTTGTAAGTGACATTTCGTAAATTTGTTAACTGAAAAAATATATTTTTAATAAAACTCACCAGACAGTACACAGAATGTCCAAAATTGGAATATAACTCGGGAAAAAAATGTTCAGATAAAAGCCAGATATGAATTTTGTCAAGATCTGATCAGATATAATCAGATATAATGTTATATATAATTATATCTGATTAGATCTTGACAAAATCTATAATTGGCTTTTATCTAAACTTTTTTTTCCCGGGAAATCTTTTAATGTTTACTAGTAGTACGCTTAGTTCATAGTATATTAATTATTATAATAATTGAGAGCTTTTAATTTATATCTTACCTTTTCTTATGTTTCTCATCAAGATCTTTAGGGCCGGTTTCACTAACTACGATTAAGCTAACCGACGGTTAAAAGTAGCGGTGTAGCCAACACCAGGTGGGACCCGATTGACTACGGTACGATTGGATACAGATTGTAATGATTGGTTCGACCTGGTAATTCACTTCTTAATTCTTTTCATAATTCTTTTCATTGGTTGGTTGTGTCCAATCGTACCGTGGTCAATCGGGACGCTTCCGTCAACACCTACGTTGGCCTGCAGCTTATATAGATGGGCCTCTAAACGCTCCGCGGCGCGCCAGTGGCAACAACGGCGGCGGCGGCGTACGCCGAAAATCTCACTAGTGACGGCGGCGGAATCGGCGGTGTCAAATTTTACGGCGGCGGCGGCGTAGCGCGGCGGCGCAGATATCTACCTCTAACTTCTCTGTTCGACGACCCAGCGGATTTAAGAGCCTTGACACCAGGACATTTTTTGATCGGCGAGAATTTAACTAGTTATCCCAAGCGAGATTTCCAAGAGGTGGCTAAAAATAAATTGTCAAGATGGCAATATGTGCAGCAGATAAAACAGAATTTCTGGACTAGGTGGCAAAAGGAATATTTGCTAAGCTGTCAACGCCGGTGTAAATGGAAAACGGATAGTCAAGTGAAATTCTATGTCGGGCAGCTGGTTATGCTAAACAATTCGATGACGAAACAATTCCCATGAAGTGGCGGCTGACAAGAATCATCGAGATGCATCCGGGTTCAGACGGAATATTGAGAGCTATAAGTGTACGCACGGATAAAGGTGTTTATAAAAGATCCGTCGTTAACATTTGTCCGTTAATTGATTAGCGTTTTAGGCCGACGAGCGACGATCCAATACGTCCATTTATGGTTTAAGTTAAAATTTGAGTAGACAAACAGTATTTTGGTATGGTTTTCTTGTTTGTTGAAGGGCGTAGTAGGTTTATTATTATTATATTGTATTGTATTGTATTGTATTATTATTATATTATATTGTATGCAGTAATTGAAAATATCATATATTTGTCAAGGCGGGCGGCATGGTGGAGTTATTTGTTAGATGAGAAGTGAAAAGTTCTTTGGTTTATTTTTGTTGAATAAAATGTCACTAGCGTTAGTGACGGCGCTGCGTGTGGCGTTGTGCGACTGTCCCTAGTACGGGCGGTTAGTGAGCGAAGCGAGTTAGCCGTCTGTGTTTTGAGAGAGTTAGGTAGCGTTTGTATAAATAGCAAGAAGTAGGAAGCAAGAGTAA